AACGGCATAATAATAATGACGACCGTCCGTTCTGTGATTCTCCAGAACACACAGATGGCCAGTCCGCGCCTGTGTAGCATATGTTAAAGAGAGCGGGGCTGTGTTGCGTGCATGGCTTCCTTCTGCAGGTAACGGGGAGACGCGCTCTGGCGGCGGTCTCGTTCAGGATCCGAAAATAAAATGTAATTATTTGTTCCACTTATTTATTCCACTTATTCCTAGTGTGCCACTGGTTACGGTGCCGCGTGCCAGGGATTGCCGACCCCTGGTTTAGATAGTTAACTTTAGACTAAGTTATCTCAGTGGGTCTCAAACGGTTTGGTCACCATTTATGTACATATTTCCAATGCACACCTTTATTTAATATAGTTGTAACCAATAAGGTAGGAAATCACAGTGTGTACTATAGGACAGTAAAACGTAAAAAATACAGTTTAAAAGGGAGTGATTAGTAAAATATGCATAAATAAAAGAAAGAATGCTAACTACAGATGGAGCATCTTATTTCAGACAGTTTGAAACGTGAGGGTCGTGATTGGCTCGTGCACGGTCCGTGATCGGCCCGTGATCGGTTTGTGATGAAGAGCCGGCCCCCAGTCTGACTTGATACCGCCCCCGTGATAAATAAATGTAATTATTGTGAAGCCAGCTGCAATGGATCATTGATCCACCAGGGGGTGCAGTGGGGTTCCACACTGGAGCTCATGTGAAATCAACTTCGATACAGTAAGCTGGATGTACAGTATGTCTGGTACTAATGTATAGCGGATCTTTGTTAAGATCCATATGTCACGGATAGGATCATAGTCTGTGCTAAATAAGACATGTAATCATTTACAAAACATCACCATGTTGTTATTTAACAAAATAATGTTGTTTAGTCGAAAAAAACGAACGAGAGGAAATGCAGCCGGCTCTCCCGATTTTTAATCCTAATTTAATCATCATCTTCACCACGATCATTTATGTTTATGTTCGCCGAATTGACATGAAATCACTGACAAATATGAATATTCTGTATTCAACTTCATTGAAAAACGATCAGAAAAACGATCAGGATCCCTGGATGTTATTTTTCCCCACAATGACCAAGTCGCTGCAAATTATCCCGTTTATTACATGGCCACATTCTCAACAAAATAACGACATGACTCCCAATCTTAATTGAAATGCTTTTATGGATTTAGAAAATGTTTTTATTGATTTAAAAAATAGTTGTATGTATTGATTTAAATTGACATGCAAGAGAAATAGTCACTAGACACTTGACACAGTGGCTTTAGGCAAAGCAGAAAAAGAACACTCAAACCGAGAGATGAGTTATTATTACAACGTGACTTCACTATTATTTAACAACTGTTTTTATTGGGTTCTTTTATTTGGGGTTAAGTATATGTGAATTGCACTAATGTGGGAAGATCGTGATGTCTTCTCCGATCTGCTTTATGACCTTCTTTCTCCCGCTGTGTAGATTGGGGGACCGCCGTCCTCTGTCTTCAATGTTCGACATCGCGTGAAACAGAGGATTTCGACATTCTGTATGCATTGCTTACTTCCTTAAACCTTTTCTCCTCCTTATCTCTTTCATGACTTTTTATGTAATGCTTTATAACAGCTGTAATAGTTCGTTTAGAAATCCTAGAAACACTTTTACGGCAGCTCTCATTTACGGTAACTCCTTCTGACGTCATAGCTACCCACGTATAATATATAAATAAAGTCTTGGCTTTCAGAATATGAAACTTTTATTTCCAAAATCACACGATAAATACATTTGTGAGCTTGTAAAGGGAAGATGACAGGCACCTCTCACTCGCAATCTGCTCCTCCGCAGCGCCGCCCCCCCTCCCTCCGGAGGAGCGGAGAACGGAGTAATTTAATGTTACAGCATGCATAACAACAGCCGGTGTTTATTTTATTATTATATATAGTCGTTATTCATTTGTTTTAAAGCTCAATAAGGAAGATTTAAACTTTCACACACGTTGACCGGCGAAAAACTCTGCCCGGTTCCCTCGGCCCCCACCACGTTGAATAAACAGAAGGCTGCTTTTGTGGAGGAAGTTACAGCGCTACGTACAGGCTCGGCATATGTACTGCAGCTTTTTCCAGCGGTATCCATAAATCTCTTAATTTTGACCTCAAAGTGCACCAGATTGATGCATTTAACTTCAATATAAAGAAAAACATCTTCTGTTGTAACAACAATAACATTATAAATAGTAACATAGCTGAACATGGTATTGAACATTTAGCTTTCAGTGTTACTGACCTGAGATGTTTTTATTACATGAATTAAGGTGACTGAGGCTTTTTAACATAGACTTTTCAGTGTCCCACATACCGTTCACCATCCCCCACCCCCCTACTGTATGTTGATTTTTGACTTTGTTTGCCTACATGTAAATGGGTGGCATTTAGTACCTACCCCCCTCTGAGTGAATAGCTGCTTAGCTACTTGGCACTAAGTACAGATATGTCTACCCTTTCTTCTTAGAGTTAGCCAAGAGGCTATTTTTCATCTGTAGTTAGTTAGATTTTAAAAGTCAATCTAAAACACATTTCATTTTAAACAAGTAAATACAATACATTTAAAACATGCAACATACACTGTAAACAAAATCTGTAATCTAGGCAGTAAATTGCTGTATTACCCACAGTCATTTACTTTGAATTTGTAATACAGTGTGATACTGTACATTATGCTGCACTGTGGGAATATTATCCTTAGGCGGGAAATGTATGTAAGCTGGAGTCTGAAATAAGCTAAAAATATGTATTTCTTAATAAACTAAATAGGCCACCATTGGTAGCAGTTCTCATTATATACTTCTCAGTAACTGCTCCCCTTAAATTAAATGTATTCTGTAGATTTTGGGGATTCATTAATGAATTTATTGCCATTACCATGCTTTTTCAAGACTCTTTTAAATTCTATCATTTTATAGGCCTATTTAAGTTTCACTTTTGTGAAAATAACAAAGCAGGGTTGAGGAAATATTCCCAACTGCATCTTCAAAAGTAATCCAAATAGCTACATCAGCATCTAGCAAATGAAAAGCTTTCTTTGTAGACACACAGATCAACTGTAGTGGCACAGTGGCAAATCCCTGCTGTGACTATTTGGACGTTTTAGGAATATTTTCCTATACCTGTTGACTTCACATCTTGTACACATTTAATTAGGAGCAAAAACACACACTTCAAGTCAGATCATCACCCTTAGCTATTTTAATTACCTCTCAAACAACCTAAACTAGTTATAAATGTTTATTTTTACTGTCGGCCGGGTCAGCTGCTGCATGAGACAGACACTGAAAAGTATTATCATCTGAAATTAATCATTATGTTATTAGTATTAAATATATATAAGTATTTTTACAGCTTGTATTTTTTTACCAAGTGTTTTTATTGCTCTTGGGGCATTAAAAACAAGATTTTAACTTTAGTTTTTTATAAAATATCTGCATTTTCTCTTGTGAAAAACTAAGTCTTAGTTTGGCCATAGTTATTTAATATATAAAGACTATATATTATTGAATTACAAGAGTAGATATACTTTATTTGATCTAAAATATTGATGTGTTCAAATGCTCTTCTAAACAAAACTGAAAGTCCATGAAAAGTTGTCTTCCTGTTTTTGTGAAGGAAGCGCCATCTCCTGGTTAAATCCTGAAATTGAAAATCTGGCAACGCCCTCTTGGAAAATAGTGGGAGGGCTTAACATTCCCAGATACTGGTCTTTGGCAGGTCTTAGGCAGGTAACTGGCAGGTAGTAGGCAGGAAGCAGTAAGCTGGAGTCTGAAATAAGATGCTCCATCTGTAGGTAACATAAGATAAGATAAAGATAGGAGAGAGGAGGGACTGAAGTGTTAATAAAATAAACAAGTTTAAATTATTTGTTATTGTTTGTGATCAAGGATTTTTGATTATTTAAATATATACAGTTCTGTTTCATGAGTGTTGAGTGCTGTATCCATAAATCCCTTAATTTCCCCTCAAAGTGCGTGTAAACGTATACAAACAATATGTTGTATGTAGAGAGATGGAAGAAGGGAATCTACTGTCGCACTACCGCAAACATTAGTTTGTCCAATTTATGTAAGTATGTTTTACTGAGGATATTTATTTTACTTTTTCTCCAGTCACTGTGCAGTTATAATAGAAGATTTATTTCGATATATGACCACAAGGTGGCGTCAAACTACTTTATCTGATACTTTACCTACTGTACACAAATAGTCCTTCTGAAGTCTGGCAGCAGGGTCTGATGTCATGTAACTCCTAACTAATAACTAAACAATTGACTGCTTACGGTTCACTTCCTTAGCTTAGCACTGATGCATGGAAGTGGAAGCTTTCAATGTTGACTACCCACCACATTTAAAACTACACAGCTACTGAAGTGTCGTGGTATTATTTATTTTGACCATTTTTATGGAATTAACATAATCTTTGTTCGACTGTGGATCAAATGTTGCACCTGGAAAAAACATATTTTCTGTATTCAAATGATTGCTTTATTACTAATGATATAGATATGAAATGTTGCTCCCTTAAAGTAGATAGAGTCTATCTCGAGGAGGGGGCTGGACTTTGTCTCTCTTCACATTCACTTCTGGTAAAGAGACTATGAGAGACTTCCTGTGGGTGAGGTTGTTTCTAAACTTAAGCTTGAATTCCTCCATAACACTCCATCACTGCGTTTCAACTATTAGGTTAAAGCTGTTACACACATTTTCATATGAAATATTGGTGAGAAGGCCCATGGATTATAAAGTGAGAATGACGCCTGCAATTGTATCTCCCTCTTAAAACTGTATGCACTTTATGCAGCAGCCTTTAGATAAGCATCAATCATTACTGACCATCTGTGAAGAATCACGAGCCCACAGGATGATCTTATCTACATCAGGAAGGATATGAAGTTAAAACACAACTTCCGTTTCCAATATTACATTGCATTTGTTTCTTTGTAGATCCTGATTGCTTTTCATATGCTGCAGTTTCAGTCTTTCTATTTGCACAAAGTAGAAGAATTTCTCAGAAGCAGATTATCAGTGTTGGATGTGAAGATGGGACACACTTGGCTCTGTCTACGGGTTTTTTTCTGTGAGTACTTTTCCTGTTTTAATTGCCATTGATAAAACGTTTTAAATGCCTGAGGTTAATATATATGTCTGTCAGTTTGATAATGTCTGATTTAGTTTCATACTTATTTCAGTTCTGTATTTACTTTACTGTGGACAAGCTCAAGGTAATTATACAATTTTCATACTTTTTGTTTACTCATTCTAGACAAATCTACCGATGTAACTCTCCAAACAACATCCGTTTGGTCAATGTATAATACTGTTTTTGACAAAAAGAAAACACATTTTACTTTTTGTATCTTGTAAAGGAAAGCAATAAAATCTATCTAAATGTATCAGGTAAGTTATCAAAGTAATACCACCATGACCAAGTTCAATAAAAACATTTGTTATTTATTTATGAGCCATGTTGATGTGAACACGCAGTTTGGACAAGTTCTAATATATAATCTCTAAATTATTGTAATGTTTTAACGGTTGAACAGCTCCACTGACGCTGTATAGGCAGGTGAAGTATACTGTACAATCCTGTGCTTTTCATTATCACAAATTCAAGAGTATTAAAATAAGAATAAGAAGACAGGGATCAGTTTCTTACATCAAAGCATTTACATAAAGATAATACTTGACCAACAAACCTTGTTATACTTTATTACCTGTGACAAATGGATTGTTTTCACATTGACAGTTTCTGAGAGTAAGTCATTTATTATCAGTTAACTTTTGTTTACTGTATATACAAATAGTATTTTGGTTATTATATTTAAGTACAGTTCACACTTAAATTAGTTTTTTACATACTGTATGCAGAAAATATGTAGGATCCAAGGAGTGCATGTAACCCACCAATTATACATCATAATGTTATCATTCTGTGAAATGTTGTTTTCCAACAGACAGACCTAAGCCTGTCCTCACTGTGTCTCCATCATGGCCGAGTCCTGGAGCCTCAGTAACTCTGAACTGCAGCGTTGATCATCCTTCTGCTGGCTGGAGCTTCTACTGGTATAAGGCTGTTCCCAAACTGTCGTACTCCTACAGCTATGAGCTGCTACCTGGCAGCGAGAATGGGACTGAACAGCATCTCTTCATCATTGATGGACAAACACACACAGCAGGATATGTGTGCAGAGCAGGAAGAGGAGATCCAGTGTATTACAGTTGGCATAGTAAACCTAAGTTTGTCTGGTCTGGAGGTCAGTATGTTCTTCCTTTTTCTTTCTTTCTGTAGTTTGTGCCACCATTAGGCCAACAAATGTCTTTATCAAAGTTTGCCTGGTCTTGAGGTTTGTTTTGACTTTTCCATTATTGCAAAATGGAACAAAGTCACTTATTTTGGGAACTTTTCTTTTACACCAGCATCAGGTCACAGTTCAGTTTTCAAAACCTTTCTCTAAAACAGAATGATGATTGACTGATTCATCTTCTGGACTTGACTGAATTTGAACACAAAATAATCTCTTTTCATCCTGACACATGAGTTGTTGTTCGCCATGGTTCAAACCTTAGACTTTGTCAATCCAAAACCTAATAATATAAGGCTTCTACAATACATTAGATATAACTGGTGAGTGTTTTCTTTATTTTTTTAGTTTGGAATATGTTTTAAGATATTTATCTGCTGGTTAAATAGTTTAAGACATAAACAATACATATAATTAAACACATTTGTAGTGTGAGATTGAGGCACTGGTACTTTCACTTTTGTTTTCCTCCTACTTTAGTTTGTTCCCGTTTGTTTTTTCAGGGTAAATTAAGTGGCAGTGTTGCCATACCAATGCATTGTCTTTTTCAGTCTGCATGGTTTAAATGTCCACTCTTTGTGTGTTTCAGATTTGAATTCAGCAGCGTCTCTCACAGTGAGTCCTGACAGTGTGCAGCACTTCACCAACACGTCTGTGTCACTGAGCTGTGAGGGAAACTCCACTGAGTGGAGAGTGAGGAGGTTTATGAAATCTGACATCCTTCTTCACTGTTCTTTCTGGGGGACAATGACTGGATCCACATGCACAATAACCAGCAGCTGGGTTAGTGGAGTGTTCTGGTGTGAGTCTGAAACAGGACAGTTCAGTAATGCAGTCAACATCACCATCGATGGTGAGTTTTAATTATTTAAAATGTTTGTTTGAATCCAAGGAGTGCATGTAACCCACCAATTATACATCATAATGTTATCATTCTGTGAAATGTTGTTTTCCAACAGAAAGACCTGAGCCTGTCCTCACTGTGTCTCCATCATGGCCGAGTCCTGGAGCCTCAGTAACTCTGAACTGCAGCGTTGATCATCCTTCTGATGGCTGGAGCTTCTACTGGTATAAGGCTGTTACCCAAAAGTCAGACCACTCCTACAGCTCCTACGGCTATGAGCTGCTACCTGGCAGCGAGAATGGGACTGAACAGCATCTCTTCATCATTGATGGACAAACACACACAGCAGGATATGTGTGCAGAGCAGGAAGAGGAGATCCAGTGTATTACAGTTGGCACAGCAAACCTAAGTTTGTCTGGTCTGGAGGTCAGTATGTTCTTCCTTTTTCTTTCTTTCTGTAGTTTGTACCACCATTAGGCCAACAAATGTCTTTATCAAAGTTTGCCTGGTCTTGAGGTTTGTTTTGACTTTTCCATTATTGCAAAATGGAACAAAGTCACTTATTTTGGGAACTTTTCTTTTACACCAGCATCAGGTCATAGTTCAGTTTTCAAAACCTTTCTCTAAAACAGAATGATGATTGACTGATTCATCTTCTGGACTTGACTGAATTTGAACACAAAATAATCTCTTTTCATCCTGACACATGAGTTGTTGTTCGCCATGGTTCAAACCTTAGACTTTGTCAATCCAAAACCTAATAATATAAGGCTTCTACAATACATTAGATATAACTGGTAAGTGTTTTCTTTATTAGTTTGGAATATGTTTTAAGATATTTATCTGCTGCTTAAATAGTTTAAGACATAAACAATACATATAATTAAACACATTTGTAGTGTGAGATTGAGGCACTGGTACTTTCACTTTTGTTTTCCTCCTACTTTAGTTTGTTCCCGTTTGTTTTTTCAGGGTAAATTAAGTGGCGGTTTTGCCATACCAATGCATTGTCTTTTTCAGTCTGCATGGTTTAAATGTTCACTCTTTGTGTGTTTCAGATTTGAATTCAGCAGCGTCTCTCACAGTGAGTCCTGACAGTGTGCAGCACTTCCCCACAACGTCTGTGTCACTGAGCTGTGAGGGAAACTCCACAGAGTGGAGAGTGAGGACGTTTACGAAATCATACCTTTATCCCTGTTCTTCCTCGGGGAAAATGACTGGATCCACATGCACAATAACCAGCAGCTGGGTTAGTGGAGTGTTCTGGTGTGAGTCTGAAACAGGACAGTTCAGTAATGCAGTCAACATCACCATAGATGGTGAGTTTTAATTATTTAAAATGTTTGTTTCTGAAGTATTATGTTGTTTTGAAATGTGAAGGTGACAAGCATTAGCCAAATGTCTCTTCAAATTAGTAAAACTTCATAAAAAAGGCTAATTTGCGAAGTGATTTCCAGGGTTACTTCTCTCAAAGATCAAAGATAATATTCTGTGTTTAAATGTTCTCATACATCTACCTGACATTTCAGCTTCTGCCAGACTAGGCCAGTTGTGCATAAACATATTAAATCTGCAAAAGCTGATGACTCTGTCAAAGCCTTTATATTCTTTAATTTCTTTTCAGATTATGAAATGATCCTGGTGAGTCCTGTCCATCCTGTGGCTGAGGGACGTTCTGTCACTCTTAGCTGCAAGTTCAAGACAGGAACTGTTCTTTATAATGTGGATTTCTATAAAGATGACAAACTCATCCAGAACGATACCAGGAAGGAGCTGACCATCTCTGCAGTGTCAAAGTCAGACGAAGGCTTTTATAAATGTAAACAGAGAGATTCAGCAGATGGTAGGACGTCACCAGAGAGTTGGTTCTCAGTCAAATGTAAGTATGATTTAAAAACCCTTCCTTTTTTGTAAGCTGTGTTACAGTCTGAGATAAAGAAAGCTTAATTTCATCTGAATTAAACTGTGTTTGTTTAAGAGAGATGTTTTATACAGTTAATCTATAACAGGAACGTTTAATATAAAATAAATATTAATAAAGATTACTTATAATAGCAGCGTCCGGGCCTGGAAAAGCCTCTCAATTTCCCATTCTTCTGATCGTTGGGCTGCTTGGTGGAGTTGTACTGATTATTCTCCTGCTGCTGTTCCTGCATTTATACAGAAAGTCAAAAGGTGAGATAATTTTCTTCTGATATCAGATTGACTCTAATGTAACCACACGTGCTGTTTTAACAGTAGAACACTTTCGCAATGCAAAATAATATAGTAGTACATTTATTTTTTTAACAGATTCATGCTGTATCAGGTTGGTACAACGCTCTATTTTCTTTTATTATGAACATGACAGCAGTCATATGTTCCTTTCATAAATCCACTTCATTTACAACATGTGTTTTGCCCAACAGATCTCAGAGGACCAATCAGGGCCCTGCTACAGACCACATGATCAACCAGGATGAAATTCAAAACATGCCACAATATTCTACTCTCCTCCATGGTCAGCCATTGTCCGGTTTGATAATATGATTTATTTTAACTTTTGGCCTTAATTGTGATTAAAATGTGGCCTGATTTTCACTTCTCTGTAGGTGATCGCTGTCTCTATGAAACAATAGGAGGGCCTGTAGAAGCTGGAAATGGTACAGTATCTGTGTTTAACATGGAGTAATAGAAATACTACTGCAGTGGCCAGCAGTGTCTCAATAAAGTACAGGAATTGTCCTTTGATACATTATTGTATTTCTTCTAACAGGTGCCAGTAATGAACCAGAAGAGAGCCTTTACTCAAATGTGGCTGCAGGTAATGTCAAGTACAAAACACTTTTATACATATACACATAAATATACTAAACGTTTTTATAATGTGCTGTGCTGCTTGCCAGTTTCAGCAATGAGCAAATCCACCAAATAAAGCTTTTACACTTTTTGTGCATTGTTATACAGCATGTTGTTTTCCAGTAATGTCTTGGTTTAATGATACATTACTTAAAATATCATAATTATTAAATGGCAAATGTAAATATGTTCACACACAAATGAATTGGCATTAACAAACATTGTTTTATTCAAAAATAGACAGTACGATGAGCAGTAATGACCCAATGATAATAACTTATTTTGGTTTCTTCCAGATCAATAAAGACATCCTCATGGACAGAACCAATGGAGCGGATAAAAACATGAAAAACAACATCCTTGTTTCAGCAATTGAGTGTATTTGCTGCTTTTGTGTAAATAGCGCAGTGCCTTTTAAAAAAAATGCCTTTCTAGGAACATGGTGAATGCTTTGCAATTCAACTGTTCTTACTTTCTGTGTACTTATATTTAGTGTAAAACATTGTACTACCACCTTATCTGTTAAATGTCTGATTCAGATCACGTGGCTCGAACCTTGTTGTACATTGAGTGATATTAGAGCCAGATACTAATATATGCAGTATGGACACATGCTTTAGCACTGTAGATGCACACAGTGGACACACAAATATATTATTAATAAAACCCAAATGCAATTATACCTGCATGTACTGTTCAGTGAATGATTGTTACTAGATGCTACCACAGGGTGCCCACAAATTATCTAATGACTTGAAGTTATCTTCAGAAGTAGTCTCTTGCAAAAGCCAAAACATCTGAAGTCACAGCACCACCAATAGGTCAAACAAGCTTTTCAGATTCAAAGGAACTGAAGTACACACCTTTTGTACAATGTATTTGTTTTCTTTCAGATATTTCAAATTATCTAATGCCTTGAATTTATCTGCAGAAGTTTTTTGTTTTTATAACTTGGTTTATCTTATCTAATTTTTAATAATACAAATGTTCTGTATTGTGTGAAGCAGATTAACCAAAATAACTAAGAACATGATGGAATTTCTCAAACGCTTGTCACCAATAAAAAAACATCAACCCACAAATCTTATCTTTATTGCATGATTTCAATGCAATCAAAGCAGTAAAGCCTGTCCAGGAAGAAAACAAGGCAGAACATTTTATATTTTTCAAACATGTTATTGTCATTACAATTTTTAAATGGTAACCAAAACCCTTAATGCACTTAAAATATAATATGTTTTCTGCTAGTACTCTCACTTTATTATCTCGTATGATTTCAAAATGTGAATATACGTTACTGTGTTTCTACATTGTCCATGAGCATGGGCGTAATTTCCACTGGGGACAGGGGGGACATGTCCCCCCCACTTTTCAAAATCCTGTTTGTGTCCCCCCCACTTTTCAAATGTGTTTTCATTTTAATTTTATGTACGCAAGCGCTTATCGCCAGGGTGGAGCACAGCCTGTGTGTGTGTGTGTGTGTGTGTGTGTGTGTGTGTGTGTGTGTGTGTGTGTGTGTGTGTGTGTGTGTGTGTGTGTGTGTGTGTGTTGTTGGAGTAGAATCCCTCTGCTACGCGCCGTTCGTTGGATGAGGCTGGATCTCTATTAAATTAAGAAAGGAATTGAAAACACCGGAATCAAAGTTATAACAAATGATCTGAGTTTACTTCTAGTAGGAAACCAAACACATATACAAGTTATACAGAGTACTCGAGTACTCCGGGCTTTTAGATTTGTGATGCGATGCGGACAAATGCGTCAGGACCCGCCAACTCATCAAACCAAAAAGAAATTGGACTTCAGGTTTGTGATGCGATACGGACACAGTTCTCAGGACCTGCCACTCACCAAACCCAAAAGCAATTTTACACACACAAACGTCAGTATTTCTATCTGTCTTTGGGGCGGAGATTTGTCGATTCTTCCTTCCCACTTTTCTCCCAAGCGAATCAGAGAACCCCTGGGGAGGAGCTGTTTAAACTGCTAACCTCCCCCAAGTGTCCTGATTGGCTGGATTCGCTTCTGGCCGGGTTCAATCAGAGGTCTGCCCAGCATGTGAGATCCCAAGCCACCCCAGGTCAAAAGTCAATGTTTATCTTTACCTTATCTTACTCTACATTCCTTTCCCAGGGGATCTTTTCCTATTTTACGATGTCTTTAACGACTTAGAAACAGCATCTGGCTCTTAGAGATGATAACAGCCAATGTTGGTGTGTGAAACACAGAATCTCTGGATCAGTGAGTTTAAAAGTGAGAATAACATTCTTTTTCTAAGTGATTATCAAAACCTGTTCAAACAATACATGTTTACTTCAATACAGTGTAGAATCATATCTTTTTCCTTCAATCCCTCTTTTGATCTCACCTCACGAGATCAACATATAGCATTTGAAACATTACCACTGTCAATTTTCTTCTTACTGTGTCTGTCCCAACATTTATATAAACCCATCAGAAGTTGGGATATAGAGCACTTTAAACCTTTAGGAACAGTCCACAACAACAACTTATTATGACAGTGGAGGGAGAATAAAATATGTCTAAAAAGCAAAGTCCTTGTCAGCTGAGTCATCTTTACTCTTCCCTCA